GAGAGACAGAGCAGGTAGAGCGGCGGTAGAGAGAGAGACAGAGCAGGTAGAGCGGCGGTAGAGAGAGAGGCAGAGCAGGTAGAGCGGCAGTAGAGAGAGAGAGAGAGCAGGTAGAGCGGCGGTAGAGAGAGAGAGAGAGCAGGTAGAGCGGCGGTAGAGAGAGAGACAGAGCAGGTAGAGCGGCGGTAGAGAGAGAGACAGAGCGGGTAGAGCGGCGGTAGAGAGAGAGGCAGAGCAGGTAGAGCGGCGGTAGAGAGAGAGAGAGAGAGCAGGTAGAGCGGCAGTAGAGAGAGAGGCAGAGCAGGTAGAGCGGCGGTAGAGAGAGAGACAGAGCAGGTAGAGCGGCGGTAGAGAGAGAGACAGAGCAGGTAGAGCGGCGGTAGAGAGAGAGGCAGAGCAGGTAGAGCGGCGGTAGAGAGAGAGACAGAGCAGGTAGAGCGGCGGTAGAGAGAGAGGCAGAGCAGGTAGAGCGGCGGTAGAGAGAGAGAGAGAGCAGGTAGAGCGGCGGTAGAGAGAGAGAGAGAGCAGGTAGAGCGGCGGTAGAGAGAGAGAGAGAGCAGGTAGAGCGGCGGTAGAGAGAGAGAGAGAGCAGGTAGAGCGGCGGTAGAGAGAGAGACAGAGCAGGTAGAGCGGCGGTAGAGAGAGAGACAGAGCAGGTAGAGCGGCGGTAGAGAGAGAGGCAGAGCAGGTAGAGCGGCGGTAGAGAGAGAGAGAGAGCAGGTAGAGCGGCGGTAGAGAGAGAGACAGAGCAGGTAGAGCGGCGGTAGAGAGAGAGACAGAGCAGGTAGAGCGGCGGTAGAGAGAGAGGCAGAGCAGGTAGAGCGGCGGTAGAGAGAGAGAGAGAGCAGGTAGAGCGGCGGTAGAGAGAGAGAGAGAGCAGGTTGAGCGGCGGTAGAGAGAGAGACAGAGCAGGTAGAGCGGCGGTAGAGAGAGAGACAGAGCAGGTAGAGCGGCGGTAGAGAGAGAGGCAGAGCAGGTAGAGCGGCGGTAGAGAGAGAGAGAGAGCAGGTAGAGCGGCGGTAGAGAGAGAGAGAGAGCAGGTAGAGCGGCGGTAGAGAGAGAGACAGAGCAGGTAGAGCGGCGGTAGAGAGAGAGACAGAGCAGGTAGAGCGGCGGTAGAGAGAGAGGCAGAGCAGGTAGAGCGGCGGTAGAGAGAGAGAGAGAGCAGGTAGAGCGGCGGTAGAGAGAGAGAGAGAGCAGGTAGAGCGGCGGTAGAGAGAGAGAGAGAGCAGGTAGAGCGGCGGTAGAGAGAGAGAGAGAGCAGGTAGAGCGGCGGTAGAGAGAGAGAGAGAGCAGGTAGAGCGGCGGTAGAGAGAGAGACAGAGCAGGTAGAGCGGCGGTAGAGAGAGAGACAGAGCAGGTAGAGCGGCGGTAGAGAGAGAGGCAGAGCAGGTAGAGCGGCGGTAGAGAGAGAGAGAGAGCAGGTAGAGCGGCGGTAGAGAGAGAGAGAGAGCAGGTAGAGCGGCGGTAGAGAGAGAGAGAGAGCAGGTAGAGCGGCGGTAGAGAGAGAGAGAGAGCAGGTAGAGCGGCGGTAGAGAGAGAGACAGAGCAGGTAGAGCGGCGGTAGAGAGAGAGACAGAGCAGGTAGAGCGGCGGTAGAGAGAGAGGCAGAGCAGGTAGAGCGGCGGTAGAGAGAGAGAGAGAGCAGGTAGAGCGGCGGTAGAGAGAGAGACAGAGCAGGTAGAGCGGCGGTAGAGAGAGAGACAGAGCAGGTAGAGCGGCGGTAGAGAGAGAGGCAGAGCAGGTAGAGCGGCGGTAGAGAGAGAGAGAGAGCAGGTAGAGCGGCGGTAGAGAGAGAGAGAGAGCAGGTAGAGCGGCGGTAGAGAGAGAGACAGAGCAGGTAGAGCGGCGGTAGAGAGAGAGACAGAGCAGGTAGAGCGGCGGTAGAGAGAGAGGCAGAGCAGGTAGAGCGGCGGTAGAGAGAGAGAGAGAGCAGGTAGAGCGGCGGTAGAGAGAGAGAGAGAGTAGGTAGAGCGGCGGTAGAGAGAGAGACAGAGCAGGTAGAGCGGCGGTAGAGAGAGAGACAGAGCAGGTAGAGCGGCAGTAGAGAGAGAGGCAGAGCAGGTAGAGCGGCGGTAGAGAGAGAGAGAGAGCAGGTAGAGCGGCGGTAGAGAGAGAGAGAGAGCAGGTAGAGCGGCGGTAGAGAGAGAGACAGAGCAGGTAGAGCGGCGGTAGAGAGAGAGACAGAGCAGGTAGAGCGGCAGTAGAGAGAGAGGCAGAGCAGGTAGAGCGGCGGTAGAGAGAGAGACAGAGCAGGTAGAGCGGCGGTAGAGAGAGAGACAGAGCAGGTAGAGCGGCGGTAGAGAGAGAGACAGAGCAGGTAGAGCGGCGGTAGAGAGAGAGACAGAGCAGGTAGAGCGGCAGTAGAGAGAGCGGCAGAGCAGGTAGAGCGGCGGTAGAGAGAGAGACAGAGCAGGTAGAGTGGCGGTAGAGAGAGAGACAGAGCAGGTAGAGCGGCGGTAGAGAGAGAGACAGAGCAGGTAGAGCGGCGGTAGAGAGAGAGACAGAGCAGGTAGAGCGGCGGTAGAGAGAGAGAGAGAGCAGGTAGAGCGGCGGTAGAGAGAGAGAGAGAGCAGGTAGAGCGGCGGTAGAGAGAGAGACAGAGCAGGTAGAGCGGCGGTAGAGAGAGAGGCAGAGCAGGTAGAGCGGCGGTAGAGAGAGAGACAGAGCAGGTAGAGCGGCGGTAGAGAGAGAGAGAGAGCAGGTAGAGCGGCGGTAGAGAGAGAGACAGAGCAGGTAGAGCGGCGGTAGAGAGAGAGACAGAGCAGGTAGAGCGGCGGTAGAGAGAGAGGCAGAGCAGGTAGAGCGGCGGTAGAGAGAGAGAGAGAGCAGGTAGAGCGGCGGTAGAGAGAGAGAGAGAGCAGGTAGAGCGGCGGTAGAGAGAGAGACAGAGCAGGTAGAGCGGCGGTAGAGAGAGAGACAGAGCAGGTAGAGCGGCGGTAGAGAGAGAGAGAGAGAGAGAGCAGGTAGAGCGGCGGTAGAGAGAGAGAGAGAGCAGGTAGAGTGGCGGTAGAGAGAGAGACAGAGCAGGTAGAGCGGCGGTAGAGAGAGAGACAGAGCAGGTAGAGCGGCAGTAGAGAGAGAGGCAGAGCAGGTAGAGCGGCGGTAGAGAGAGAGACAGAGCAGGTAGAGCGGCGGTAGAGAGAGAGACAGAGCAGGTAGAGCGGCGGTAGAGAGAGAGACAGAGCAGGTAGAGCGGCGGTAGAGAGAGAGACAGAGCAGGTAGAGCGGCGGTAGAGAGAGAGAGAGAGCAGGTAGAGCGGCGGTAGAGAGAGAGACAGAGCAGGTAGAGCGGCGGTAGAGAGAGAGACAGAGCAGGTAGAGCGGCGGTAGAGAGAGAGGCAGAGCAGGTAGAGCGGCGGTAGAGAGAGAGAGAGAGCAGGTAGAGCGGCGGTAGAGAGAGAGACAGAGCAGGTAGAGCGGCGGTAGAGAGAGAGACAGAGCAGGTAGAGCGGCGGTAGAGAGAGAGGCAGAGCAGGTAGAGCGGCGGTAGAGAGAGAGAGAGAGCAGGTAGAGCGGCGGTAGAGAGAGAGAGAGAGCAGGTAGAGCGGCGGTAGAGAGAGAGACAGAGCAGGTAGAGCGGCGGTAGAGAGAGAGACAGAGCAGGTAGAGCGGCAGTAGAGAGAGAGGCAGAGCAGGTAGAGCGGCGGTAGAGAGAGAGACAGAGCAGGTAGAGCGGCGGTAGAGAGAGAGAGAGAGCAGGTAGAGCGGCGGTAGAGAGAGAGAGAGAGCAGGTAGAGCGGCGGTAGAGAGAGAGACAGAGCAGGTAGAGCGGCGGTAGAGAGAGAGAGAGAGCAGGTAGAGTGGCGGTAGAGAGAGAGACAGAGCAGGTAGAGCGGCGGTAGAGAGAGAGACAGAGCAGGTAGAGCGGCAGTAGAGAGAGAGGCAGAGCAGGTAGAGCGGCGGTAGAGAGAGAGACAGAGCAGGTAGAGCGGCGGTAGAGAGAGAGACAGAGCAGGTAGAGCGGCGGTAGAGAGAGAGACAGAGCAGGTAGAGCGGCGGTAGAGAGAGAGACAGAGCAGGTAGAGCGGCGGTAGAGAGAGAGAGAGAGCAGGTAGAGCGGCGGTAGAGAGAGAGACAGAGCAGGTAGAGCGGCGGTAGAGAGAGAGACAGAGCAGGTAGAGCGGCGGTAGAGAGAGAGGCAGAGCAGGTAGAGCGGCGGTAGAGAGAGAGAGAGAGCAGGTAGAGCGGCGGTAGAGAGAGAGACAGAGCAGGTAGAGCGGCGGTAGAGAGAGAGACAGAGCAGGTAGAGCGGCGGTAGAGAGAGAGGCAGAGCAGGTAGAGCGGCGGTAGAGAGAGAGAGAGAGCAGGTAGAGCGGCGGTAGAGAGAGAGAGAGAGCAGGTAGAGCGGCGGTAGAGAGAGAGACAGAGCAGGTAGAGCGGCGGTAGAGAGAGAGGCAGAGCAGGTAGAGCGGCAGTAGAGAGAGAGGCAGAGCAGGTAGAGCGGCGGTAGAGAGAGAGACAGAGCAGGTAGAGCGGCGGTAGAGAGAGAGACAGAGCAGGTAGAGCGGCGGTAGAGAGAGAGACAGAGCAGGTAGAGCGGCGGTAGAGAGAGAGACAGAGCAGGTAGAGCGGCGGTAGAGAGAGAGACAGAGCAGGTAGAGCGGCGGTAGAGAGAGAGACAGAGCAGGTAGAGCGGCGGTAGAGAGAGAGACAGAGCAGGTAGAGCGGCGGTAGAGAGAGAGACAGAGCAGGTAGAGCGGCGGTAGAGAGAGAGACAGAGCAGGTAGAGCGGCGGTAGAGAGAGAGACAGAGCAGGTAGAGCGGCAGGAGAGAGAGAGAGAGAGCAGGTAGAGCGGCGGTAGAGAGAGAGGCAGAGCAGGTAGAGCGGCAGTAGAGAGAGAGGCAGAGCAGGTAGAGCGGCAGTAGAGAGAGAGGCAGAGCAGGTAGAGCGGCAGTAGAGAGAGAGGCAGAGCAGGTAGAGCGACAGTAGAGAGAGAGGCAGAGCAGGTAGAGCGGCAGTAGAGAGAGAGGCAGAGCAGGTAGAGCGGCGGACGCACCACGACAAGGGGCGTGTCGGGCTGGAACTTGCTCTTGACATCATCCAGAAAGTCACTGCGCTTCTCGCTGGCGCCTGGCGAGGTGATGGGGTGATAGGGTGGTATGGGGTGGTATGGGGTGGTATGGGGTGATGGAGTGGGGCTTGTCGGGCTGAAACTTGCTCCTCACGACGTCCAGAAAGTCACTGCGCTTCCCAGTGGCGCCTGTGGGGTGATGGAGTGATGGGGTGAGGGTCGCACGGCATGAGGGGTGAGGGTCGCACGGCATGAGGGGTGAGGGTCGCACGGCATGAGGGGTGAGGGTCGCACGGCATGAGGGGTGAGGGTCGCACGGCATGAGGGGTTAGGGTCGCACGGCATGAGGGGTGAGGGTCGCACGGCATGAGGGGTGAGGGTCGCACGGCATGAGGGGTGAGGGTCGCACGGCATGAGGGGTGAGGGTCGCACGGCATGAGGGGTGAGGGTCGCACGGCATGAGGGGTGAGGGTCGCACGGCATGAGGGGTGAGGGTCGCACGGCATGAGGGGTGAGGGTCGCACGGCATGAGGGGTGAGGGTCGCACGGCATGAGGGGTGAGGGTCGCACGGCATGAGGGGTGAGGGTCGCACGGCATGAGGGGTGAGGGTCGCACGGCATGAGGGGTGAGGGTCGCACGGCATGAGGGGTGAGGGTCGCACGGCATGAGGGGTGAGGGTCGCACGGCATGAGGGGTGAGGGTCGCACGGCATGAGGGGTGAGGGTCGCACGGCATGAGGGGTGAGGGTCGCACGGCATGAGGGGTGAGGGTCGCACGGCATGAGGGGTGAGGGTCGCACGGCATGAGGGGTGAGGGTCGCACGGCATGAGGGGTGAGGGTCGCACGGCATGAGGGGTGAGGGTCGCACGGCACAAACACATGGACGAGTGGGAACGAGCAGGCGATGGGGTGAGCCGCATGGAAGCGCATTGCTTGCACATGTGCACACGGGTGCGTGCACGTGCAAACTTGCTCCTCACGATGTCAAGAGATTCGCTGCACTTCTCACTGGCGCCTGTGGGGTGATGTGTTGGGGTGATGGGATGATGGGGCGATGGGGTGATGCGGCGATGGGATGAGGTGAGGGACACACGGAGGAGTGGGATGGAGCAGGAGACGCGCGGCTGGGCGTGGAATGGCATGGCGTGCACATTTGCAGCGTTAATGGCCTCATGTGTGCGAGCATGCACGTGCATTGTGGTTCGAGCCCGATACAGGGCACGTGAACACATGAACGTATGCATGCATCCCAAGTACAGATGTGTGCATGTGCCCTTTTGAATCGACTCAAACGAACACTCAGATCACCTTTATGGGGATCGCCAGTCATCACTGCGACGTTCACAGCGCCTTCCACGTGGCTCGCCGCGAATTCCTCTTCCGTCCTGCGTCACCATCGTGGTAAAGCGGGAAGACAGAAAATTGCAAGGTGTGAGGGATTTGGGAACGAAAATGCAATGTCGACACGAGGAGCCGCAGTGCAAACGAAGATCAAATGGCAGAAACAGAGCGAAATGAGCGAAAATGCGGCAGCCGATGGTTTGTCGTTTAATTCCGAAGGCGCGCGAAGCGTGACACGACTGACGAATTACGCAGTGTTTACTAATATCGGGCACAATCCGAAACTGCGTTTGCTCAGTTGGCCTAAAGGATGAGTATCGCGGTGCGCGATGGACGGCGCGATGCAGCCGCGGAAGCGAGCGTGGGTGGCGCGAGAGAGCGCGGGTAGAGGGCGCAGGAAGAGGACGCGGGGAGAGGGGCGCGGGAAGAGGGCGCGGGAAGAGGGGCGCGGCGGACATATCGAGCTCAAAACGGGCGGGAGAAGCAACCTGACGTCGAGGAAGGTGTGGGAGGCATCGAGGAGCGTCTTCGCCTCGCGGGGCGGCACGGTAGCGAATCCCGCCATGGATGAGACGAGTCGCCGCAGCGGGACTGCCACCAATAGGTTAAAGCTGGCGCTTGCTGCTACGCGCGTGGCTCGCTGCATACGGAAATCAGCACCAGCGATAGCGCGGTTGCAGCGGCACGAATCGCGCCGTCACGTGTGCGTGGTTGAGAAGAAGAAGAGGATTTTCGTAAAAGAACGTTCTTGCAACAGATCCATCAGTGGCTTGGCAATGGGCTTTTGCTGAGTGGGGGAGCGGGGCGATGGAGGGAAAGGGAATGTTGCGGGGAAAGGCGCGATGATGGAAAATTTGCAAGGCAAACAATCCCTACACCAAATGCAGTGAACCTGGTGAGCGGAGTGAATGACTCGTTACGAAAAGCTGCGGGTTTATATATGATGATATTGTACAGAATGAGGAGCTCATGTTTAGGTGAAATTGACAGGTACTTACGTGCACCGAAAGAAAACAAATCACAGGTAGGAACAAAACAAACTTTAATCAGAATATGTAATCAAGGTGTTATCGTAGATAAAAAGAACAATATATAGTGTTATAGTAGTATAAATTTACATTTTCACTGGAAAAAACTTAAAACATGTATAATGGAAAAAAAAATACAGAATGTAGCTACTACAGTTACTTTACGAAGCTAGCTGCATGGAATTGCAGATTTATACTGTAGGCTTACCTTAGCAAGGACGTTCCGAGGTTTACGGAGAGAATTACTGCGGCACGGGGTTGGGCAGTGTGAATTTTTCTTGTCGCGGGATTTTTTACTTATAGCCGAAACCGCCCGGGTTTACCTTTCGTCCCGATTTTTCCGCGCACGCGTCATTTCGCCAACAGAAACGTAAGTGTAGCTGATCATGTAGGGTCAGCTGCAACTTTTGCACATTGACCGGATTGTTCAGCTCCAGGATGTTTGGAGCTGGACCACCAAACCCATCCCGCCTTGAGCATTTCCAAGCCTACCTGTCTTGTCAGTGTGAGGCTCGTCAAAACGAAGTGTACTACTGACGTGTTCAAAATCGAAGTGCGAGCTTGAAGCACAGTTCGGACTGCAGAAATTAATTTCTGACGAGGAAGCAAACCCCGCCAGAGGGATTCCCACGTGGCAAGCAGCACAAACCGTTCATGTTCGATGTTCAACCACCTGAACATCGATTGATCGGTGTTGGAGCTGACATCCTCGCACCATGAACCTACTCCAATAGGCGTTCGAGATCAGGTCGTCAGTTATCTTCTCGTCACCGTGTAGGTTCACGCAAGCACTCTAGTTTTGGCAGCGCGAACATTAACCAATCGTTGCTAGACTTGCGATTGTGATAGATTGTATCCTCACATCTGTCGTGTCGAACTGTCATTCGCGGACCCAAGTTCATCTCACTCAGGTGGCCTGTTTCAGCCCGTCTTCTCACCAGAATCAAGTTCACGGAGAGGAGATGCGCACAACACGGTTTATGAGCGCCAAATAGACGGTCAATTCTCAACTTCATAGACGTAACTCAATCCCTGAATTCCTCTCTACCTTAGTACGTAGCACTCCTTTCCCATTTTTTGGTAAAGAGCATGCCAACCGGAAGGTCTGACAACCCTATTCAGGTAGAGGACGATGATGTTGACGCCGTGCACGAGGTAGAAGACCGTTCAGAACACGAAGGGCCTGACGACCAAGCAAAATCACCACCAGGTCGCCTAGGCATGCGGACTAGGACTTCAGCCACGGGGAAGCGTGCTCGAACAGGGACAGATCAGCAGCTGCCTTCTGCTCCTAACACTAGATTTGGCCGTGGTAGAGCACAAGACGAGTTCTCGTTCGAGTCAACTGTTACAGAAGGTCAAGAGTTGCCGCCAGCGCAGGACCTCATTAGTGACATGGCTCGTGGAGTTAAAATTCCAAGCTTAACTAGTGCTTGCACGTCGAAAAAAGGCCCAGCAGTGAAAAGCAGGAATTGGCCAACAAGCTCCATTTACAACTGGCATGGGTTTGGGACCTGTCTGCACGTGGCGGATGCCCTTCAAATCCAAGACAAGTCTCCAATCTCTGACACCGTGATCAACTTTCACAGCATGTGAGTTTGTGTTTAGCTTGTGTTTCATTTTATCACCCGTCAATATTGCTTCTCTAATTGTGCTACATTGTATCCACCCTCCCTTCATAGAGTTCTTGACATTCGCCACAACCGGCTGGGGAATGGCAAAACATGGATAGCCCTGGATGCCAAGGCGTACGACTACATGGCTAGCCAGAAGAAATTGATTGTATGCTGCGACGACAAAGCCTCGTTCCTGCACTTTGACTACGTTGCAATCTTCGTGGCTGCCAAGTAAGCGTTTTTTCTTCTAGTAAATGTTACCATTCAAACACTATCCATGTTAAGGGCTCTAATTCAAACGTGTGAATGTTCTCATCTGGCAGTTTCCACTTCAGTCTGTGCATTTTGGAGAATGCGCCCTCCCTCGTTCAAACGACGGTTACCGGAAGCGACATCGATGCTAGACTGTGGCTTTACGACTCTACCGGCCATCACGCCAAGAACCCTGCCGTGGAATCTCTGCTCCGAACGTACGTGTCGTGTTTACTTGCCTATAGTCGTTGTGTTTAGAAAAAGAAATGGACAAGCGACACTTTCTAATGTTTTTTCTGTTTGGCTGCAGGATCGTTTTTACGGAGTTGTCACGGGTACTTAAAGATATGGCAAAAAAAGAAGTTCACGGTCGAGTTGCAGCCCTTCCATTCCGTGTTCTACAGGTATGATTTGGCATTGGTTTTTGGGTTTGGCCATGCAACGCCTACGGGTTTCTACATTCTAACGCATCGTATGATGTACCCTGTTTTGCCATTGCAACAGAGCTGGGAGATCCCGCGTCAACCACCCGAGAGCTTGGACTGCGGGATCTACGTATGCATGTACCTGCACGCACTAGTCACGACGGACTTCCAGCGATTGGAGGGGCCTATGGCTTTTGCGAGATCCCCTGCACACTACCGTCGAGACATCCGGGCCGACATGTGCGCGCACATCTCCGGCAACCTCCTTTCAGCCCTGCAATCAACCAGCAACGACATGCCCCAGCAGAACCGGACGTTGCGTAGGACAAGCGACGCCGCACCGACCCCTGCTGAAGTCTCAGAGATGACAGGGATGGTGAGGGAGACGAGTACGGAGGTGGGGCTCCTAAAGAAGGAAGTGGCGACTCTACGCTCGGAGCTGGACGAACTGCGAACTAAGTACGCAAAGCTGGAAAAACTAGTGACGGACCACCTGACATTGCTGGAAAGTGCTCATCCGGCCGCACGAGGGAAGAGCAGAGATGTACCTGACAGAGGAGAGCAGGAGGATAAGAGTTCACCTTCTAAGCGTGCTGACTCTGTCAGAATATGTTATTTGTGTAGCCTGCAGTGGGGTACTCAATAGTGAGTACAACCCCTTAGGGTTTGCTATTTGTATCCTGCTGCTTGCTAGTTCAATCATTCCTTCTCAATTCTGTTCCTGCACACAATCCTAGCTCGTACTTGGCGCCTCCTTTCGTAGTCCTACTGTGGCCTAGGCTACTAAGCCTAGGCCGTACTCCTAGTATATTTGACAGACTCGAGCCCTGATCCCCAGCTGTTCGACACTGCAGCGTCTCCCCTTGCAGGTGGTAGGCCTACATCCATTGGTGTACACCACGTGAAGGCTTCGTTGCCACATGCGACGGTGCAAGCTGCCAAGCCTGCACGCGACGCCGGCGCTCCTAGATCAGCCGCACCTCCACCTCATCGCCAAGCCGCGGCTCCTCTCCAACCACCTATTTGCCCGCCCCAGCCCATGTTCCACCCGGGATATAGTCCCATGCCACCACCCTATGCACCCCCTCATGGCGTGCCATATTATTGGCATGGGCAGCACCCTCCGCCACCACCGCCGGCATACCAACCAACGGCATTTCCTAGCATGAGTGGTCCCGCAGAGAACGCAGGAGAATGGCAGAGGGACCCGGTGGGAGACGTCGGCATGGCTATGCAAGGGCCGGATGGAGGTCAAGGGAACTGGCGCCAGAAGTACGCTGGCGTCTTCAAGGAAGGCAATGTGTGGACTGCGCGAATAATCCTAAACAAAGACCAGCAGCAGCAGCAGCAGGGCCAGCAAGAGCAAAAAACAATGCGCTTGGGGTCGTTCACAACTGAGGAGGAGGCGGCGAAAGCGTATAAAGCAGCTGCCATTGTCATTCGCGGGCCCCACCAGCGCATTCAGCGTAGCATCGAGCTCACGGAGGAGGAAAAGGGCTTGCTGGTGGGATGCAAGTTCGTCCACGTTGACTACCTCGCCTACAGGCGGGAATGGTACCGTTGGCGAGAATGGTGGCGTATGATTCCAGACAACAATGCCCCGCCGCTTTTGCAAGGGCCACCAACCGGGGTGATGCCTCCACCACGCCCACCGCTGCAGCCGAGCAGCAGCCAGGCTACTCATCCGCCTGGCATGATTCAAGGATTGGTTCGTGGGCATCGTGACGGTACCTATGATGACGGACAGAACAACAACCACGGTATGCTTGTTTAAATGTGTTAGTGTTTTTACTGATCAGAGTGTTGACGTTTCTCATACATCAACTTACGTGAGCCCTCTTGATCTTGGTGTGTGCAGCGTAACTGTCAGCGGCGCAATAGCAGGTGTCATAAGGTTTCACGTTGCTCAGGGTTTTGAGTCACGGAAAGCGTTACGAATTTGTGGTCTGACTCTGATAAAAACATTAATAGTGCAAAACTAAACAAGCTTCACAAAAGCGCCATGACAGACTTGCAACCAGTGCTCTAATTCCATAAGTCAAGTACACGCAGTCTGCACACATCATCAATCCGCGAAGAACACATCATTTGGCGAAAACATGATCCCCTAATTGTTCATAACAAAAGTAGTGTTCATATCACAAAAGTGCTCTTCCAATCGCACGCACATCCGTGGGCCGTTGTCAGGTTGCACGCATACGAGGCACGCGCACTCAAAGATGCACGATTCTCATGAGACTGTCA